GGGGGGGGGGATGCGCACATTTGGCCGGTAGGAACTTCCGATTGACGTCGTACTTCCGACGCAGGATGAACAGCCCAGTCATGCGGGACAGCTGGGGACAGGGCGAGAGACACAGAGACGCAGAGGGGGAGAGAGGCAGAGGGGGAGAAGCACATCAATAACGGCCAGCGGCCAACCGGCGGGCAGGAGTGGCGAGCTGCGAGTGCCGAGGGACCCACCTCGTCGGCGCGTAGCTGGGCCAGACGCAGCTGCTCCGGCGAGGAGCCAGGCTGGCGTGAGGCCACCACCGGGTCCTCAAACACCCGCTTGAAGAGGGCATAGTCGCCGAGGATGGTCGGATTGACGACGTCAACCAGGGCATGGAACTCGGCCAGGTTGTTTTGGACCGGCGTGCCGGAAAGAATAATACGCCGCGTGGTGGGGATCAGCCGAATGGCCTTGCTGATGTCGACGTTGGAATTTTTCAGCCGGTGGCCCTCATCCAAGACAACCAGGTCCACCTTGGAGTCGACAATGTCCTTGGCAACTTGGCGGAACTGCAAAAGGCGAGCCGAAGCACCGGCACATGAGGTGAGCGAGTGGCGGAAAAATGGCAAAAGCGAAGAACCCAAGAGGCCCGATGGGCCGAGCAACTCACCTTCTCATATCCCACGATCAGCACCGAGTACACCGTTGTCCGGTTGAACTCCTCCAGCGAGGTGGTCTGCGAACCGGCCCCCAGGACATAGGTGCGCACCCGCTGGTCACCCAGCCACTTGCGGAACTCGCGCTCCCAGTTCCGCACCAGAGTTGCTGGGCAAATGACCAGCGCCCGGCGGATGACCGGTTGCCGTGAATAGGGGCCCTGCTCTGGGGGGAGGGGAAGGGGGAGGGAATGGCGTGTGAGCGGGAGAAGGGGGGAGGGGGCAGCAAGCAGAGGCAGAGGACGGGGGCAGAGGTGGATGCAGAGCAGTGGGATCGAAGGAAAAAAGAACATACTCAACAGAGTCCAAATGAGGGCAATCGTCTGAATCGTCTTGCCGAGGCCCCTGCACAGGAGCACCGACGAGGAGAGAGAGAGAGAGAGAGAGAGAGAGTATGTCAATCGCAAAGAGGAGGCCAAAGGGGGCGAGAACCGAGGGGGAGCCGAGAGAGGCAGAGGCGGTCAAAAGCCGCGATGGAAGGGGAGAAGGAGACACAAAGGGGCAAAGAGCAGGTCCGGGGGAAAAAGGGCAGCCAAGCGGTTGACGCACATTTCGTCGGCCAAGATGGCTCCATTGCCAGTAAAGTTGCGGAAGCCCATGACACATTCATACAGGAAGACCACGCCCTCGCGCTGGTGAGGGCGCAGCTGGCCTCCAATGTGCGGGTCCACCACCACGTCATTGACCGGAACACTGGATTGACAAGGGGCGACGGCGCGGAGAGGGGGAAGGGGTTGGCAAGGCCCAGGCAGGAGCGGAAAGAAGGTGAGAGAGAGAGGGGGGGGGGGAGCGATCAGAGAAGTAGCCGGAAGGAGGCGCGCACCCGCGGGAATGTTGGGCCACATGGGCCTCTGGCGGCCGGGGAAGAACCAATGCCCCAGGTGCATCCGGGCTATGCCGGGGCTGAGAGGCTACAAGAGCATCGTCATTCGGACTGCCTTCGGCAGCAACCTGCCGGAAGGAAGGAAGCTTGGGCGCTGCACGGGCGGTCGGCCGTGCCGGTGCCGCTGCTTCCGAGGTCACGCCAAGGAAACACTTGCCGCTTTCAAAGAGAGATGCCTCCACTGGGGCCATGATTTCGATTTCTCTCCGCGAAAGAACAAGGCTTTCCCCCTCACGAAGGGACGCCAGTTGGCTAAGAGGATACTGGTTGGCACGTCCGAGACTGTTTGTGTGTGTGTGAGAGAGAGTGGGTGGGTGCGGGTGTGCGGCGGTGGATCAAGTCGAGAGGGCAGGGTGATGAGAAGAAAGCAGGATGGAGAAGCGGGATGGAGAGAAGAGGGAGCGAGGGGGGGGGGGGGGGGACGAACGATGCTCCTTGCGAGTCCAGAAGGTGAACGCCAGCGTCAGACACCTCAATGAATCCATCGCCGTCCCACTTTTTATGCTGAAGAGTAGGGTGCAGAAACATGAATCGGCGGGGAAATGGATATGTCCAGGGACATGAATTGCATCGTGAGATATGGGGAGAAGAGGAGGGGGATGGAGGAAACACAGGGAACAGAGGGAAAAAAGTCAGACAATTTAGGAAAGAGCGAGAAAGAGAGAGAGAGAGAGAGAGAGAGAGAGGGGGGGGGGGGAGGGGGGGAAACCCACCTTGCTGTTGGTCATGCGACGGAAAACCACCGAGAAGTAGCGTTTGTTGAATTGGCCCGACGCGGAGAGGGGGGCCGCCGCTTCGAAGCCGAGCGCACGGGCGGCCATCGAAGCTGCCTGGCTCTTGGCTTGCTCGCGTGCGCTTGCCGCCGCTGCGGCCGCTTGTGCCTTCGGGTCCACGGGGACAGCTCGCGGGGTGGGGAGCGCCGTCCGGGAGAGACTCGGCGCGCCAGTCGAGAGCCCCACCGGTCGACGACTGCCCAGAGCACGCAGCCCAAGTGACCGGGTCCGGGAAACAGCGGGCGTCCCGGTACTCGGCTGGGCCGAAGGCTCAGCAGCGGTCGGGGAGGCATCCACCGAGACTGCTGCCGAGACCGGGGCCACTGCTTTCGCTGGTGGCATCGGGCTGGACAGCCTCGACGGGGTGGTCAGCTTCAGAGGGGCTGTCAGCTTTGCCGGGGCAGCCCCTGAGGAGTCAACAAGAGCCCGACGAACGGAGGGGGCCTGAGATCGGCGCATCTTGTAATGTGAAAAAGAGGCAGGGGAACTGCGCAAGCGAAGACCGGTCGGAGGGGGGGGGAAGGGAGAGGGAAAGAGAGAGAGAGGGGGGGGAGGGGGGAGAGAGAAAGGGAGAAAGAGAAAGACAGGTCTTGGCTCAGGCGTCGGGAAACATTGGCCAGAGGGCTTGAGTCTTTTTATGCCATCCTCGGGTACAGTTATTGGCACCGACTCAGGCTCCCAGCCAGACCCCCGCCCATGCGTCTCGCCCACTCATGCGGTGCCCCCGTCGAGCAGGGCACACGAGCTCTCGGTGGAGATCCCGATCTACGACCACAAGACATGGCCAGTTGCGCCACCCGATCAGGCGATTGTGGGGTTCGACCACTCTGCGGGAGGGAGGTGCCCACGATTGGGGCGGGGAGCAAAAGCACCCACACGGTCCGGCATTCGGAGGAACATCGGGGAAGGTGGGTATATTTACACAAGGACAGGATTTATTCACTCCCCTCTCGCGGGGGGGGGGGGGGGGGGGGGGGGGGGGGGGGGGGGGGGGGGGGGGGGGGGGGGGGGAGGAAGTTGACGGGGAGAGGGATGGAGGCAAGAACAGGAGAAGGCAGGAGAGACTCCCCGCCTGAGCAAATCAATCGATGAAATCCCCACCCCGGCGGAAGGTCTCCAGCTCGAAGGACTGCTCGCCATCGACCGGGGGCAGGCCACCAGCAGCCAGGCCGCCCTCGGGCCCGGTCCGCCCGGTCCCCGGGGAGATGACATCCGGCACCTCGCCACGGGCCAGGCGCTCCTCCAACGACAGGGCCTTGATGGACTCGCGGTGGTTGGCCTGGCGCACGTGGAAGAGGACCACACGGCGGAGAATCTGTAGCAGGATCAGCAACAGAGACAGGGTGGCCGCCAGGACCGAGGTCAAGTTGGGCAGGGCACTGCCACTGTTCGAGCCGCCGGTCTGCCGGGACCCGATGCGGAAAAGCTCGATCGCCAGCTGGGGAATGTCCTCGAAGACCATGTTCAGCAGGCCGAGGAAGCGCACACGATCCTCGCCCCGCGGTCCGAGAGGAGCATTCAAGCTCGGCAGGGCAAACACACGCGAGCGCGAAAGCAACAGCGACTCGACGTGCACCGCGCCCAGGACACCGAGCGCGACCGCGGTCCGGGGGAAGCGCCGCGTCCAGCTATCCGTCACCGGGGCAATGGTGACGCTGGTCACTTGCTTGTTGCGGCCGAGGGTCCCTCGGCCGAGAGACCCGCGCCCGCCCTCCGGCCGACGGAGGATGGTGAACACATGCCACGTGAGCAGGGAATTGACCACCAGCGACAGGAGGACAATGGCCACGGAAACGATGGTCATGACGGTCAGACGGCCAGCCGCTGAGGCCAAGTCCAGTGTCACCTTTTCGGCGGCCGAGATGGAATCCACCACCAGGTCCGCCACCATGAGGCAGGCGGTCACCAGCTCCGTGTTGAAGGCAAGCGGATCCCAGTGCCGAGCCACCAGGTACAACACCAGGCCCAGGATCGCGAAGAAGACCAGCATGCCCAGGGCCACCCAACTGAAGAGGCTGCCCGCCTGCTGGACCCCCTCGGAAGCGGTGGGGCTACAGCGCCCGGTGGACGGGTTGTATGCGTCCCCTGGCCGAGCACATGTCAGGCACTGGTCGGGCCCGGGGCCGACGCAGCTGAAGCACGTTTCGTGGCATCGCCCGCAGGAGTGGCCCCCGGACCCGATTGGGTATGCCCCGGAGGTGGGACACCCGCGGGTGGAGATGCTCTGCTCGGCGCCGGCATTCTCCCACAGGATGTACCCAATGGGGATGCGTGCGTCGGAGTTGGGAGGCGTCAGACTCGAGCCCGACGCCGAGTCAGACGGACTGCTGTCGCTGGCCGCGGTGGCCTGGAGAGAGCCGCCGAGTGCCAGCAGCAGGTGCTGCTGCTGCTGCTGGTGGTGCTGTTGCTGGTGCTGCTGCTGCTGCTGTTGCTGCACCTGGTGCTGCGGGTTCCAGGGGAGGGCGTTCCCCTGGGCAAGGTTCACGGATGCGATGCTGCCGCTGCTGCTGGCACTGCCGCCGCTGCTGGTACCACCTCGGCTGGAGGAGGATGCCGAGGAGCTTGAAGAGACTGAAGAGCTGCCGCCGCTGGTGCTGCTCCCCTCCGGCGAAAAGACCGAGGTGACCCGTCCACCCGTGGCAGCCAGCAGCGGATGGCCCGGTGGCACAAAGACCCCGGAGAAAACACGGACTTCAAATTGGGACTTCAGCCTCAGGCCCTCCAGTCGGTGGTGGGTCTCGGTCAGGTAGAAGGGCAGCGTGGCCCAGCCGGCATGGCCGCCATCACCGGCACCAGGGCCCCCGGAGCCACTGTCGCTAGGGGGGACAGGAGTCGGCGCCGCAGGACCCACCTCGCGGTACAGGAGCTCGTACACCAGCGACCCGGCCGGCACATTGCCCGACACGGCTGGTGCCTTCCATGACAGGTTTACACTGGTGCTTTCGATGGTGGAAAGACCGCCATCGGGCCCGGGGACCCAGGCGTCCGGTCCGGAGGGCGGCGTGGCCGAGATGAACCCACATGGGGGGAGAGATGTCCGGGCGATCAGCTGTGCCGCCAGGGTGGGATACCGATCCCCATGCTGGGGATTGTTTGTTGGCGAGGTCGGCCCGCACCACAGCTGCAGCATGAAGGCATGGAAGTGCTCCAGGCCGCGCAAGGTGATGACAGACCCACGTGTGAGCCCCTCTATGAGAGAGAGAGAGAGAGAGGGGGGGCAAAGGGAGGGGAGCGAGGGGCAAGAGGGCGGCAGGGGGAGGTGGGGGGCGGAAACGCAGTCAGTGATCCGCGTGGAGGAAGGCCGAAGGGAGGTGGAGAGAGGCAATGAGGCGCACCATTGCCGGGCACCGGATCCATGCCAAAGCCGCCGCGGCTGAAGCGAAGCTTGAACTGGGAGCAATGCGAAGGGAAGGCCGAAGCGAGGCCGGGGGTGGCCACCAAGGCCTGGCCATCGGCCTCGGGCATCGAAGAAACCCCGACACCGGACGTGCTGTGGCTGGAGCTGGATGCAGGGCTGTAACTCCACTCGACGGTCAGACGCGAGGAGTCCGCGTTCCGGACAAGGAAATGGAATCCCTCATGGCCGAGATCGGTGTCTTTGGAGCAAAAGCAGAAGGGCCCGATTGTTGCAGGGGGCCGTCCCCTGATAGGTGAGTAAAGCATCACCAGGGGGAGGGGGGGGGGAGAGGGAGAGACAGAGAGAGGAGGGCGGAGGGCGGGGGAGCCGGAGGAGCCGGAGGAGTCGGCCACGGGAGGGCACAAAGGAAGCAGGAGCCCGGGAGGCGGACGCACCGAAAAGGCAGGAGTCGAAGTTCGCCTGCCAGACACTCAGACTGCTGGAACACTGGTAAAAGGGGGCATGCGAGGGGGATTGCGTGAAGCCAGCCGGGCAGACCGCGGGCAGAGTGGTCGCCGGATGCGCCCGAGGGAGGGCCGGTGGTGGGAGGTTCCCATCGGACGGGGGCTCCGAGCTGCCCGCGGCCGGGGGGGCTGCTTGCTCGCCAGCCAGGTGCAGGCCCTGCGGCATGGCCGGGCAGTCCTTCTTGCACCGCATGCCGGCCTCGGGCGCGTCAACCACCGCCGAGAGGCCATCCAGTCGGCATCGGCGCGCGGGGACCACCAGGACCGGTCGGCCCTCGGTGACTGGCGCACCGGCCACCTCCGGCGGCAGGCTGTAGCCATCCATGCACCGGCCGGTGACAACCCAGGAGTCTGGGTCGGCACCAGGGCTGAGTGACATGGCCGGCGCAGCAGCCGGCCACATGGCGCCGTACTCCTGACTCTGTGGGGACTCGCAGAGAATGGCTATGTCGGGAGGGAGGGAGGGAGGGCACGGGGGGGGGGGG